GAATCAAACAGACCACCAGCCGGTCGTCCCGACTCTGGTATGCTTACATAACGGTGTAATCCTGTTTCCCCGTCTTTACCGACTAGTCACGGGTCAGGCGTCATACATAAACACAGGCGGCCCGCTACTTGTTATTCTTCCAGTGGAGTGGACCGTCAGGTTGCGTTACACGGGCGGGCGCACCCCTGGTTAACACCGCCGCGTGCGCCGCTCACGGGTCGCGGGAACACCACCCCGGCAATCAATAATGGATAAACGGGGAAACAATGCAGCTGGTATGATGTTGGACAAGTTCAGGGTCACCCATTGTACTTGGACGCTAACAAGAAACGGAGAAATGCCCTCTCATCAATATCTACCTCATTAATATGCACATCATACATGCCGTAAATGTGCAAATATCCCCCTTAAACCGTACACACAAATAGTACATAAGAAATTACAAAATTCATTATCAGTGCTATTTTTCATTTGCTTTATTCCAAATATTATTTTACCTCATAACAAAGCATACCTCGCTCCCAGAGTTTCCCAACAGCAATATACATTTTGTGATTAGAAATATAACGACAAAAAGGCACAACTTTGCACATATCTGGACAGGTTTGATAAAATGTAACAGACACTGACTGCATTATGCACTAGTAGTATACAGAGCTTTAGAATTCTCAATTGCGAAATAACTTTCTGAAATGTTACAATTAATAGCAACATATCGTTACAAAAATACTTTATGATATGAACGTGTTTTTATGTGCATTGCTGTACAACATTTTACTTGATTTTGATATACAAGTATGTATTTGCACAATTGCAAACAAGAGTCATGACCATTGTTAATATACATTTCTATATCAATTGCATTATCATATTATCATGTAGCGTAAGTACCATTTAATAGCATCTATTACTAGAATCCCAGTACCCAATGATATACATGAAGAAAGATTTAAATAATACTTTTAAGTCTAGAGAATTCCACATGAGAGAAAATTTTGTATGTAAACAACATGAGGAATGGTACACATGTACAAACACTTTTGAACATGGCATGTTTGAACTTTCTCCTAAAAGAAGTGGCAGAATGGCTAGTGTGAACAGTTTAAACTACTTATGCTAAGTTTGTTATAACAATCTTAAAATTAATTTTGATGGTGGCAGTGTCATATCAATATGTATAATATATTCATATTTTTGTCCATGTATCAAGTTTTAGCTGCAAGATGACAATGAAAATTTACACCATTCTTTTGACTTATAATCATTGACAAACTCATACAATCTGAAAAGCAGATGATGAAATAGAATTATTATAATAATTTCTAACACGTAACCAGGTAGAAAATGTCACATCCCATCTGCTTGGAGACTGACACTGAAACAGAGGTACATGTTGACATAGAGGTACTGTAGATTTGTATCATTTTTGAGTGGATCTAATTTCACCAAATGAGAGAAGAGGTTTTTGCGGTGTTCTAACCGTAAACAATTGGCTGGCACCAACAAATTTCGCACTTAAAGCCAGTTTGCACAAAAAAAAATGTAGGTGTATAAATTAAGTACTTTTCCCATCATGATATTGAGTTCAAATAACAACCCAAAATAATTTGCTACATACATTGTACATGTTTCTAAAATAAATTAGTATATACACAAAATTGAAAACTGACATATTTCCCGCTAACATAACAGTCAAAAGTGCCCACTCAGGGATCTGATAAAATCTATTTGGATAGGATTTCTGATACTGATTCTGATACAGGATTTCTGTCAATGGAAAATTTATCTAAGGGACCATCAAAATGTGGTCAGGCGGTCCTTATGTAGAGATGGTCCCTAACAATGTACAGGTTTGACTGTATTGTGTATCAACCTGAGAGTAGAATCAAGTGTTCTAGCCAGCATCTGTCTTTCCACCATTTGTCGGAATTTTGCCACTCATGACAGAAATTTTACCCAATCCAAGATTAGCTTTAGTGGAGGAAACAAAATGGAGTGAAAAGACACAGAAAGAGATGTCATTATACTGAACTTTACTTTACACTAAACTTACACTACTTTATACTAAACTTAGTCATCAAAATGCAGGAAATAGCATTTGAGTGGGTGAAGATTTCAAAATTTTCCAGAGGAAGCATGCCTCTGGACCCCCTGCGATTGTCATGCATGCTTTCAGCACTCAATGTGATGTTACTTCAAACAAAATTGAGATGGAAAAAAATCCAGGTTGGCTAGAACACCAGGTGGACACACAGATTCCACAAGATAATTCCATACTGTAATCTCATCAGACAGTAGTTTCACAGAAACCAACTTATAGGGCATGGAATTTCTTACAAACATTTGTTACAGACTTTAAATGATAGAATTATTATACAAAATATGGAGGCATGAACAAGCAAAAATAATATAATGTTAACTTTTCTTTCATATATGGCACACAAAGATATTGTGGCACAAGAATTCTAATAATATATGGATTTTTAAAACATTTCAGAACAATTTTTCCGTTCTTAACAGTTAAGGTAGATGAAATTTAAATAGCCAACATTTTATGTAGGAATATAAATGTACGGAATGATTCAACTTTTTCAAAAAGGGCTACCTGTAACAGTTTTCTCTGCTTTTTCTTGTAGTCGTAGGAATAAAATTTCAATTTTCATTCATTTTCCTGCACTCCTTGCAATGTCTCCTAGCCACATAGCATATTAGCAGAACGTACTGCACCTGTGCATAACCCAGATTTTTTATGGTTTTGCAAGTTGCAGATGATATCTTTTAGGACACAATATTTGTAAACTACAGATGGGATGTCATCCTTAAATACACGAACACGGCCTTAAATTAAACAAGACATTCTTCCAAAGTGCTATATATATACATGTATATGCACAATACATTACAAGTTCTGTGCAGGTGCAGTACATTCTGCTAACATGCTTAGCTACATTTACATTTATTAGCGGCTCATGTAGTTGTATTACACTTTGGCTCTGGCAATGCTGTAATAAAAAGACAAACTGTTGAACATGTTTCCATCACATACACATTGTAACTATTGACACTTAGCATGCTGTAATGCTTCTTGTATTGCCAAGTTCCCCTGTATTGCATATTTAATGTCATCATAGAGCTTTTTGTGCAAATATTGCACATTTTTAGTATTAGAGTGGTTTTCACCTGTTTTTGATGATTCTTTAATTTTTCTCGTTATTTCTGGTAGAGATGCTTTATTACAGTTGTTTTAAAACTTGCTTTGGGGGTTTTCTGAATATTGTCATGGTGGGGTAATGAGAAAACGTCTAGCTCTAGCTCTTCGTCAAAATGTGATTGACAGTTACAAAAATGACGGACAGCGTTCCCCAGATCAAGACAAAATACACCCAAAACGTATGTCTGAATGGAGATGTGTGCTTATTAATAGACCCAGGCCCGAACAGTATTCTCTGCTCTTTTCTTGCCGAATACACCAGAAACGCCGGTATGAGATACTGGATCCCTGCCCCTGCGTACGATCCCGTTACGCCTACCAAGAATTCGAGATCGTCGGTGCCGAAAGCGACCGCTATGGGCGGGACTATGGTCAGAAGCGGGAAGAATATTCTATCGATGATCCACGGGTAAGTGTACCCGTCCCGGTGGAACAGCGTCTTCAGGTTGTTCCGCAGCGTGATCGCGATGATGGGAAAGTTCGTGCTCAGCGTGAAGACGGGAAACAGTCCCAGGAAGTAGCCAATCTCCTTCGCACTGGTGATCGGGTCGCACTTGTCCATGAAGTTGAGGGTGTAGATGTCCTTGATGTCCTTGTTCTTGAAGCAGAAGATTCCGGTGAAGGACAGCACCAGGTAGAAGATGAGGATGACCAGGAAGTCGAAGAAGACGAGAAGCGAGAGGTGCCGCTTGTTCTTGATGGGCGTGACGAGGGAGGGGAGGGAGTGCTGGCACATGAAGGAGTACACGCACACGCCGAAGAGGTTCGGTACGCTGGTGATGGACTCCATCACGGGATGGCCCTCGCCTTTACCGTGGGTTATACGGGTCATCGCGAGGATGATCATAATCGTGAATGCTACAAATTCAAAGGAACAGAATCTGGAATTTGGGACTGTTGAAGCATGCCACCTAGCAGGTTTGGTGGGAACTGCAGAGAAGTGATTGCACCACTTCTTCAATATCACACATACCTACATGTACCAAATACCATCACAACTGAAGCAAATAAACTACATCAAACAAAATATACTATCCACACACAGACATTATTCCACACACAGACATTAATATAATTCATTCCCTCCCACTGACTGAAAACAATACCTCCTTCAAGGAGGTAATAAAGAAGGTACTGACCGACCCATCTCATGAGAGATGTGAGCAGCTGGAGGTACTTGGTTTTCTGCACGTTGAAGAACACAAATGGACCAAGCAGCAAGGAGAAGGCACCCTAAAAACACATCAAGAGATCTGTCAGTCTGTGTTGCTATTGTAGCCTTTTTGCACCAAATTTTGCAAGCTTGGGTTTGTTTACTGTTGTTGTCAACTGTTCTCTACGTTGAAGGGGGTCAACCCTACTTTCTCTAGTTTGTATACTGGGGAGCAGACAGTTGTGACTTTCTTTAGTAGAAAAAAAATGTGGAAATTTCAAAAGTACTTTCATGAGGCCATGTTCGGTATATTTAAGAATTCCTTCCACGGCCAAATGTAATGATAGCATCTGCCTTGTATATAATGTACAATCATGTAAAGAAAATTATGCATGTAAATTTCTTACCAGATACACCCTGTAAGCATTTTGCCTGTTGACTGCAGTGCCCCAGCAGGGTGAGGAGTTGGTGAGGTTGATCTGCTTTGATGGCTTAACGTTACAGGTGATGTTCACTGGGCTGGAACAACAAACATACAACTTTAGTCACAGTACAACAGTACATCATGAAACTTCATACATGTATACACCAACTTATTTTCTCTTTTGTATCTCTGGCATTTCCTGGACTTCGTTATCTTTGAAAAATAAATGTGCATAGCCCGGTGGTTAGTGACTCTGTGCCTCTGGACCAAGAGGTTAGGAGTTCAAATCCCAGCTGTTGCCACTCACCTGACACACACACTACTACAAAGAGTGTCAGTCCTTAGGTCAAATGTCCATTGTATTTGTCCAAAAGAGGTAGGGAAATTTCCCCAGTACAATGAACCTGTAAATACTGTACATAGGGACTGTCTTCTCTGTCATTATCAGGGGAAGAGTAGTTTTCATTGAGTTCAGTTGAGCTAAACTGGCTCGAGATCATTTTCGTGGTCATGAGAGTCGGTTTTCCTGATTTTTTTCCATTTTCCAAACAATGCTGTAACACATATATACTAACATGTATCCACACATTCGACAGATAATACTGACCAAGTGATATCCCTGAGTGACTTGGGCACTGCAGCTGCATAGATGGCCAGGTCTCCGTACAGGTAGATAACAATGCACAGGTAGAACAGGTACCAACCAACTGTCAACAAAAACATATTGTCAACATCCATTAGGAGCATTCCTGTTATTTCAGTTTGTTTGTCTTGTTTGGGCCTTCATTCATGAAAAACTGCTTTTCATTAAGGTCATTATATTAGGGAAGAAGTCAGGGTCAGCAGAATATAACAAACTTTTACCTGAGTTACATGCAAGTATGATATCATCTAGTCCTAGTATATCTATAGACATACATTTGACATTAAGAAATTTTTAATCAATGACATATACAAAATGTATGTGGAAAATCTAAACAAGATTCCAAATACGCATTCAATGTGTTTTCATTGGTTACATACATCTCTTGCTTGTAGATAGTCTGTAAGTGCTGAAATGGCTTACTTATCACACAAATCATGTTTCCTTGGTGAAAGAATAAGAAGACATTGAAATTCTTACTTTTGTTGAAGAACATTGATGCCATTTGACCCTGTAAAAGAAAACACATACATGTATGAAGATTTCTTCTTGATGTCAAGTTACTTTGCAGCAGCCATTAATACATGTACAAATGTACATGTATGCAGGTCAGGTAGGCATAAATACTGCAATACAAGGAACCATCACAAGAGGGCACTGTTTCACATGGATTAGTGGAGAATCTTACCATCTCAACCCTTTCTGTGATGTCATAGAGATCAACTCTTCTCCTTTTGGGATCTGTAAAACAAGATTAAACAAAAGGCCAACGTTCAGTTTTGAAGAAACCTTCAGGATCCAAAGCTAAGCATGTAACTGATGTTTACACATATATATGTATGCTGAGGCTTATATTCAAAAGTCTTTTGATGCTAAAAAAATTCCAAAATGAGATTATTGATTTCTTAAGTTTCAATCTTATATATATAAATGGCTTGAACTTCAGGAATGTACCAACTACTAACCTGTTTCATCCACATCTACATGGAGTAGCAAAAATACAGTCATATTTAGTCTTACAAGTTACAGTGCAGAAAGGTGTAGGGAATACACGTACGATGTACAATGTTGTATTTAGAATTTGGAAAGAGAAGTTAGGAAAACAGACACAATTCAGTACAATTAATTATTGCTCTTTATATTAAGAAACATCAATAACATTGAAACAGGAACCCACCTATTTCTAAAGCTTTGTAAAAGGCATAAACATGTTAATTTGCTACTTGCCACAGCTCCCCCACCCGCCCCCTACTAGATACAAAAGACAAAAACCATACCATTCACAGGAGCTAGAAGGGCCCTTCTCTCTTCTTCTGATTGGTTCTCTTCTTCATCTTCTATCACATCTTCAGTGTGTGCATCATCCTTCAAGTAATCAATGAGAAAGGGAAGAGAGGAAAATTGTAGGCCTTGCAACAACATTGGTGATGTGTCAAAGGCAACTAGAAATCCCTCTCTTCAAACTTTTCCCCCTTTTCTTTATTTGAGCATACAGGAATACACCTTCCATAGTGTATTCATGACATACAATTTATGTACATGGAAATGACCTTTACGTGTTAATGAAGTTAGTTTTGTCTTTACAATTATTATTATTATAATAAAAACTGCTTCCAGTGAGAATACAAAAATTTTGCTGCCAAACTGTCACAAAACCCATGTGAGATTTTGTCTTAAATTTTACATCTTATAAGCTTTTTCATAATAACAATTTCTTTTAGAAAATTTCTGGACCATGTTTTTAGAGGTATTTCTATAAACCAAGAGGAAAAAGATGGAAGTGCTTTCCTGTCACCTTCTTACGAAGTATCCAACATCACCTTTTTATATACCACATGTAAATTAACGTTAATAAGAAGGAACAATTAATATAGAAAATAAAATAAATAAACAGCCTTACAGGGCTGAAAAACACTTGAAAATGAAAATCTGGCAAACAGCAGATGTTGATGTGAAAAAAAATAGAATGCAACATTTTGGTTATCTTAAAGCAAATGCATGGCAATCATTTGAAACATTTTCGTCAAAAACGATGCAAACTGCATATTATTACACTGCTGGTAGCCAGTCAACAGTAAGTAGTTGAGAGCAAACAAGACATGCAAAAATTACCCCAACTTTCATTCAAAGCATTTGCATGTCTCTTAAAGCAATATGTTCCAAGTCTATAATTTGTTCCCTTTCAATGTATATTTCAGATCGACAAAATTCAGTTTGAATTTGTCCATGTAATCGTTTCCTTTTATTATTAATTGCTTTAAAGAAAATTACCCCCCCCCCCCAAAAAAAATCTTAAATGTACAGTGCACATAAAAGGGAACAAAATGAAAGACCAGGGAAAGGTCCAAGAACAGGATGATAAGCTGATTCATAGTTCCAAGTGTGCATGCACTTATGATGCATTGTGGGTAAAAGGTCAGAGTTGATGTCCCATGAGACATAAACAAAACATGTCTGGACACGTATCAACCATGGTCCAGACACAAAGTGTTCACATATTAGTAAATTCCCCTTCATCTTTGACCACCCACACACCAGAACCATGAACTTGCTTATACAGAATAGAGGGAAAGAATTGGGAGTCTACGAGGTTAGAGAAGCCATGCAGAATCATGTACAGCTACAAACTGAGGAAGCGGAACCTTCTTCATTCTTTCATAATACGAGTATGGCGTCCCATGCACCCGCTACATGAAAAAGGAAAACAAGAAAAGTGTAAAAACGATCAACCTTAAAAATCATATCATAAAACCATAATTTGTGATCCCTTCACTTGCATACAGGTGTTAGTCATTTAGAATATGGTGTGCATATATACTGTCAAGCATAAAATTTTAGAAGTGAAAAGAAAAAGGTATTGCCACTGTGGTGTCGCCAAAAAACATACTGCGTTCACTAGACAAACAAGCGTTTAGAGCTACAAAAATTGAAATATGTGTGACATTATGTAGCTTTAATCTGCAATCAGTATATTTTGAGTTTGTCTTATAATTACTAGCCCTTGTAAAATCCTGGTCAGTTTATACCTCTGCTCCAATAGTACTATAGTGACCACCTTATTATATACATGTACTATAATAAGCAGACATAAACTGACCATGACCATACCTTGGCTATTGACTTTCTAAACAAGTAAAAATGTTGGTCAGATTTTCCACAAATAATGATGTTTAACCATTTTTGATCTACATGTAGATCAGAGGGAAAAAAAGACTAAACATCATGACAGACTTGAAAATTTTAGAAGATGATCTGAATTGAATAAATATACATGTAGGAGTACTCAGGTGCCAAGTACCTGTATACATCAGTTGCTTATACTTTTTTGCAACAAACGCATAACGGATTTGAAGTGGGGTCCATGCAAAAATGTGCTCACGAAAATATGTGATTACTGTAGTACTGCCCACAACTATATACACAGATTCTTGGTACCATAATGCTATTCATGCTGACAAACACATGACACATGGACAGAATGCAAAATAGGCTTGCAATGTTTGCTTAATAAATATAATTTTTAAATTACACAAGACTTTAACAAACACAACAAAAAACAGGGCAAATCAGTTTGAAAGTCAGCAATCTTGTCCAGCCCAGCTGCAAGAAATAATAAGTGCTCAAACATGCAAAAATAGATGCTAAAACTTTGAAGAAGGAAGCAGCATGCTATACAACCATATGATTTTGAAATGCGGGAAGTGTCAGTAAAGGGCTCCACACCAGTGGTGCTGCCAAAAACAAAGTTTTGAACATGTGGAAATTGTGCCCTGTGAACACGGCATGAACCAAGCGCCATCCTTTACAAATGGATCTGCCCTGGCAAACGGAAATTGGCGTACGGTATACGGTACTTTTTTGTGGTTGTTCGCAAAGGCGGCATGCAACTTTTCCTCAAAGGTGGCTTTGTGTACCTCGTTCTGTTTCTCTCGTGTCTTCCAGCGCAGCCGAGCATTTGCCACAGACATGGTCTCCACAACAAACGTTGTGGTCATGAAGCTGGAAGGAAAGTTAGTACAATTATTTTCATTATCAATTTATTTATATTACATGAAGGTCATCTGTGTTGGTTACTGTAATCACAGTGTACCATGCTAAAGTTAATTCCAATGCAAGGATCAATTTTTATCAATCGTTGCATATCCATAAAGTTTGTATGTAAGGTCAAGTGTCTGTAACTCTCATGGGTTTACGTTCGGAAGTGACTGGTCATTAATTATCCTGATGAAAGCGACAGTGGTCATTGATAATTTGATCCTTGTTTATCCTTTGTACATGAATTCTTATATCATAGAACCAGCGCAATTTGTTGTTGTTGTTGTCCTTCCTTAATGTCTTATTCTTAAGTAATATATTGCTAGACGTGGTCTCTTTGTGTACAATTTGCATACAGTTGGTTGAATTATGTCTTTATGACATGTTAGATCTCCCACTGTTGTATTTCTGCACATCCATACTTGATCCCTAGTGGGCACTGTTCATGCTGTTCACAGCCAATCAGAAAGAAGAATGCCACGTACCTGAAGAAGCCCAGCAGTATGATGAGCACCAGACTGATCAGCCAGCCAGCAGCGCCGAAGGCTTTAGGCATGGTGAGTGCTCCTGTCCCAACTATCAGGTTAAAGATGTAGATCAGGCCCATCTGTATGATAGTAATTATATAAGCAACTTTAATTCAGCACATTAGTGTGCATGTGCCTAGAGGTCAAAGGCTAGGGCTCAGTCAGGTGTTGATAGTTGTCATCATAAGTCAATCACTGAATCTGAAAACAAACACTGTACACTACAACGGAGGTAATAATAAATTTGAAAGGAATTCAACTTCCTTTACTGCTTTCAAGGGAAGTAATGTCATAATTTGAGGAAGTTGTATTTGAGGAAAGTTACCATACTTTTCCACTAAGTTCCTTTTTCGTATTCACTTGAATTAAGTTGTAAATATTTCTGTAGCCAAGGAGGTTAACCTCCTTGCTGTACATAGCTTAGTCTCAATACAGGAAAAATCTTCTTTTTTTCAATTTGCTACTGTACACTTGTACTTTCAGCATGGAATGGTCAAACGTCGACATTAAGTTTGAAAGATTATATTTACCAGTATTTTGCGATATGTTTTCAGTGGTCTTTTTCTCCTATGGCCAAATGATTTATCTAACATTTATGTTTTTAGTCAAACCCAGTAGTTTTTTCTACTAGTAGTCTCTTAATAGTTATCAGTAGTTATATGTGTACTTATTACCTGTTTTTACACAAATGTTTCTTCTGTTCATGCAATTAGCCTTCGGGCATGAATTTGCAATAAAACTTTCCTATGATAAATTATCAAACTCCAGTGGTGTTTTGTCTGCTTTTTTAAATTCAACTTTACATAGGTGGATGTAAAGCCACAGTTCTGTCAACAAAATTATAACAGGAAACTACATGTACAAGCATTTAATACAGATGGTCATACATTATTCTAAACTAGTCTATCCAGTTTCCCAGAACCCAAAATCTACGGACAAGAAAATTCTTCGAAGATAACCACTTGATTCAAACTCACAAAGGGTGAATACAGCGATCCGGTCTCCGTGATGTCGCCCGCCATGGCTCTCTCGGTCCGTAATGACTTTATCTACGTGTCAGGCGCGTTTAACCTTGACCTTTCTGTCAGGAAAGAGGAGAAAAAGTCGTCCGAAAATAAATCTTTTACGTGGCCGCAAAAAGTCACCTGGTTTCCGCCATCTTGGTTGCGTCATCAATACAGGGCGACAGAACACAACTTGGTATTAAGCAAAATATAACATGTATAATATCCTAGTCCAGCAATATAAAATCACCTAATATTATACAAAAAAAACTTTAAAATGTATAAGGTGTTCTATGACTGCCTGTAAAGTAATATTAAGTTAGCCTTTTCAGTATATTTTTTAGAAATCCGTGTATGTTCTGCCGCCTTCTTAAGGATGATTAGTAGTAAGGTCAGGGGTGAACCATTAAGGTCAGGGGTGAATCATTTTGTGTTGATGTAGAGCAGGGTGGATATGAGGAGGAAGGGACAGAAAGGAGATGAAAATCAACGAAAAGACGTTACTACAGGGAAGCAGGATCGTGTTGGTGCCATATAAGAAGCACCATGTTCCAAAGTAAGTGCTGTTCCTAGAATTCTTTGCCAACTTGAGGCTGTTTTGACATGAAACAAATGCCTCATTGGTGGTGTGCAACTCTGCATGCAGGCCTGTCTGCATGCATCTTTTTTTCTTAGCAATAGGTTTGTGGAAAAAGTAGTCCAGTGCAGCATTTCGACTAAAAAGCTGTCCAACCACCAGTAGTAATGCATTACGACTCATTAAAAGTTCAGAAATGTAATATATGTATATTATACAGCAGCTGTATAGTAGATTAATACGATTTTTTTTTTCAAATTTGTCACATGTATCTCATTCAACTCATCGTACAACAAAATGTCCCCAGATACCACGGTTGGATGCAGTCCCCGGAGTTACAGGAGCTGACAGCATCAGAACCACTCACACTGGAACAGGAGTACGACATGCAACACAGCTGGTGGCAGGACGAGAATAGTACGTGCTCGTTTCTGTACCTTGGCTGGCTCTCGTTGGTTGTATATAATACTAGAGAGAGAGAAAGTTGCATTGCACTCTTTTTAAAAACAAGAAATTGGAGATTGCAGACTTCCAGGAAGTTTGCAATTTTAGAATTCGGCCACATGTCACCTCCGCAGGCTGCTGGCCATCTTCTGATGAGAACTTTGACCTCCAGTCATTCTACCTAACAATCTTCCCCACCCACATGTTATCAACCTACTCAGTCCAGATAAACACATGTTTACAAACTCACAGTTTAACCACAAAACACAGTAGTTCAGCAGTAGAAAAAAAATGTACCAAAAATTCTTGAACAGGAGTTTGAAACAGATCTATGACTAAGCCACATTGTTTTGTGTTTTCCACAGAATGCACCTTTATCGTACTTGACAAGAACAGCTGGCAGTCTGCAGAGAGGACTGAAATAGGTACAATTTGAACTAACGTTAAATGAACTTTAGAGTTATGATTACTACAACTGTATTACATTGTTCATTTCAATGATTGTGTAAATGTCTTGCAGAAAAAACAATTCGAAATCAATGCTAATAACTATATGTCATATCTATCTGTGGTTTTGATTGTTTCCTTCATTTCAGACAGTATGATTGGAGATGTCAACCTGTTCTTCACCAATCAGGAGTGTCCTACTGAAGCAGAGATAGAAATCATGATAGCAGGTGCCATTTCTTATTCAATTTTGATATCTTGTACATGTACAACTAACATAAGTTTTTCACCAATTTTTGTCTTGAGTATGTACTGTTGTACTTTTGTTCCTGTGAAAATGACCTACTATTATTATCAAATACAACTCTCAGACAGTAGGCAAATCCCTATAGTCAGTATTGTCTATTTTTTAGAGCCCTCCAGTCGAAGAAAAGGGGCAGGAAGGGAGGCTTTGACAACCATGATGGCTTATGGTGAGTTTTTACATTACACATATAAACAATGTATCATAAACAATATACATTACAAACAATATATATATATATATATATATAGTTACTGCAGATTTACTTTAAGGTCAATTTGGAAGGAAGTGAAGGCTGGCAGGAAGTGATTACCCACGTAAGTCACCAACCCACCTAGGTCTTGTCCCAACCCTTGGTTTCTGGCGTACTATATATAAGTCCTGCTAAAAGTATACCATCTCTTAGTTGGGCCAATAAATTCTAAATTTATTGTTTCCACAACAGGTGTGCAGGAGCTTGGAGTGACAGAGTACATGGCTAAGATTGGGTACAGTAACCATGGGAGCTTGTCTCTGTTCCACAAACTTGGTTACACAGAGGTGGGTACTGTAAACCTTAGATTAAGACTGTGAGTTGTTGTTCAAGATTAAGAGTTTTGTGTATACTGGTATATAAGGCATGCGCATGTTTGGCAATGTGCTGTTGATCAAATTGGGGACAGCCCTGCTTTCTGATGTCCCTATGTTCTGACACAGCAACCAGTATTCATATTCTGACATAAGGTTGTCAGATCATAAGTTGTCAGAAAGTAGAGGTGTTGGAAAATAGGGGTGTTGAAAAATAGTGTGTAACCAATGAATCACTTTCAAAAGTTACTGAGGTTTTTTTTTTTGACCTGAAAAATCCCTTTACATTTTGTGTATAATTTTTGGCAGGTGTCCAGAAGTGACGTTTTTCAAGAGGTGACGTTACATCTCCCCATCTCAGACGACGTCAGGACAAAGCTGGAACAGGAAACGTCACATATTTCCAAACACACGTATGAAGGCCATGGGGGCAGTAGATGACCAATGTGTTGCATTTGAGAATAGCCAACATGTATAATATACATGTGTACCTGTACAGACCTGTCAAAAATACATTGTCAAATAAATCACAGAATTCAAGTTCAGACACCAGAGAAATGTTTTTCCTGAATTGAGCTCAGGTCATTTATTGTCATATTTTTGCCAACTATATTCCCATATTAGGCATCACTCAATCTCAATCACTTAGATCCAATGTTCTTTTTAAATCCCTTACCATAAAACATATGAAGAAAACTGACTTTTTTGGCAACACCTCAGTGATGGAGCCTTCCTGATTGTTTACAGCCAGACATGTAAATCATTTCAAACCAAAGATTTGCTACAAGTCAAGACAAGTCGATATAGTACAACAGGATTTCTAGTATAAAAATTGCCACAAAGAAAATACAGTTTTTAGTATAAAATTTACAAGGCACTGATTGTCAAAAAATAAGGGGTAATCAAAAATATCTGATATGGAAAACAGGAAGTATTTTTACATTAATTGTGGGTATCGAAAGTGGAAAGGAAGACGTGGACAGTCAAGTAGCCAGGTATATTTTGAATTTGGGGAACACAGTTGAATGAACCTCTCGATGTTATAGAAAATATGCAATCTAACACTTCTACTGCCAAACTTTGCTGTATTAGTGTTACAAATATGCAAGTGCATAGAGTAGAGAACTATTTATCAAGTACCTGTGACCCAACGGTCAATTTTCAATTTATTGAATTTTGGTAGTATTTTCTGAGCACTTGAGCACCAAATGCTTTCAGATACCATGTAATACATGTAAAAGCATGTTACACAATCATACATGTACATACTGATATTTGGGGTTAGAAAACTGGAAGCAAGCAGAGTCAACTTGCAATAATTCATAATTGCCTCTAACAGGCCTCAGAGGCAGCACTAGCTGGAAATTGGCAGGTAGACAGATGACAGCTGCCAGGAGAGTTATAATGTAGCTTGAATGATAGAGGCTAATTCATTACAAAAACAGCAGTACCTATGCTGTTGCCAGAAAGACCAGAATATCATCAAAACTAAACTTTTTACTCAAAGCCTTTAAGGCCACAGATATAACAAACAGAACAGGTACTAGTTTACAGTACTAGTACTCTAAACTTTTATAAAGCAGTTAAGAGATTTGGAATGTTTATTAGAAATAATATTGTGCAAACTATATATTTTTTTCAAATCTAAGCACATTTTATCATTCATGGAAGTCCTGGTGGAGGATTTTGTCCACCTTCTTAACACAATGATTTATTAATAGCAAATTTTCCATAAATAATTTCTTTAGGTTGTTGAGTGATTGATAGCCCTGGTGAAGATGACAGATGTCGGCTGATGTCAAAATTAATAATTGTGAATAAAAGAAAATTCAATTTTATAGCAATAGAATATTGAACCCAATTTCTGATAGAGTAAATGCTTAGGCTATTTTTAGTTCTTTTAATTTGGACTTTGTAAATATGGCATCGCATGTTTCTGTCTGTTGAATATATAATGATCCCGTTTGTATACACAATGACTAAATAACTTGTGACATTCACATGTAGTACTGTAATTCACTTCATGTTCGTGGTAGCAAAAGTTTTCAGTCTGAGAAAAATGGACATGTCACATGTTTGCAGAACTATATTATGTTAACGTTGATGGGCTGATAGCAGGTGCAGAAAACAGAAAGCGAATTATTTCTTAACAGTAATTATAAGTTTGAGCTACAGAAGTTAATGTGTAAACTGAAAACATAAAAGTACCATGAAGAGATCATGAATTACAGTAACTTGAGACATTCACATGTAATACACATGTAATGGTCAGGAAGATATTTACATTGTACATGTACATGGATTTGACATGGCACAAAGTGTTACCAGCTACAGACAAAGCCAATATATACCAATTCAATTTCTTGGTTCTCAGCTTTGCTTACTTAAATTTTTTTTCTGATTCAGATAGGGGATCATTCAAAGAACTGAAAATTTAATTTTGGGACAGTTATCAACCCAAAAATGTTTATTTTTTGGCACAAGAAGACAGCGTTGTCTTCCAGAAGTTCTTAGTTGTTAAAAATAGATTTGCTTAACAAGCAATGTATTTTGATTTTTGGGTCTATTACTGCATAATCTAAAAAAAATTAATATAAAAAATTCCCTCCTACCAAAGCAATTTTCTGCAAAAATCACAGAACCAAGAAATTAAACTAGTAGGGTCTACTAGCAGAAGACCACAATGGCTGTTTTTTCATTGTATAACATCAAACGTTTAAACACACATCAAGGCAACACAAACAAAACACACATCTAGTTGTACACATGCATGTGTGTACATGTATGTACAAGGTCTCTTGACTGAAATGTAGATACAGCTTCCCAAGGATAAACTGAATGAAAAAATTGTGCAAATTGCATGGAATTTTTCTTGTGTCTCCAAATTATTTACAGGTTCTCTATGCATAGAAGGAATGCTTTGCCGAGTGATTTCTCCATTTTGCATTGTAATCATTAAATTGTGCTTCACAGCAGAACAACAGCAAAAGAGACAACTAGCGCAGGAAATACACATTTTCAAGACAAAACTCACATACACCAATCTTGGCTGCCATGTTACAGTTTGTAAACATTTTGTTCCTTTCTGACTCCTACCTGTTGGGCAAGTGGACACATTGTGACAACAGTGCATGACTGCCCCCTTGTGATTGATATGCAAACTGCAGCAAAGAAAACAGATTGTAATGTTACAGAAGAAAAGATGGCACCAACCTTTTGGGGCTAGTCTAAGCTCCAAAAGTCCACTGGGGTCAAAACTGTCTATCCCATAACTGTCTAGCCCTTTGATAATTAAAAATCTGACTCAATTTTTTTTAGAAAGATGGACACAAGATTCAAGAATTTTTCCTTGACCATGATTGGAAGCAGCTCTCAGCACTTGGTTTTAGATATTCTACAAGAAGACTCTTTCGTTCACACTTGAGGACTGAAGATATCTCTTCAGCCTGCTTGGACAGCACATCTCTTCTTGGAGGACGTGCTTCTCTTAAAACCGACTGGCCCTAAGACTTGAACAGGTGGAAGCTGCTTTTTTTTCTTGGCTTGGATGCAATTTGCCCTGAAACTGGAAGGAATCAAAACTGGATTAGTTCTGTGCTCTAGAAGCTCAAAAGAAATCAAACATTCCAAAACCTTAAAAAAAGATTGAAAGATAGATCTTTCAGTACCATGGACATGTCTTCCTTTCAAAGTGTCTTTCTCAAACCCAAAGCACCTCTGAATTCGTTGAGGTGTCAAAGTCATCCTATAGCTACATATGACATCCTGGTGTCAGACTGACATTTTCTCTGATGCTCCTTCAATGATCATTATTCTATATTTTGTATACAATACCGGTAGTTCACAGAGCATTTCCTGAGACCAGCCCTGCAAAAGGTACTGTTACTGCCAGGCCAGCAGTCAAACTTTGAAAACGGTTTAAAACCAGTATTTATCCAGTCATGTGCACAGTGTGTACATGTTCCAACATATCAGGCTTTGGACTTAAGTGGTTTATAATCCAGTTTTGTACCTTCTGTTTGTGACAAGACCAGATGTTTAGACCTGCATTGAACTGTGGGAACTAGGTCAGAGTTCAATTGCTCAGGTCACAGGTCAAAAGTTCCTGCTCACCACATTCAGGACACAAAATAACAGACTGCAGTCTCACCAGTAAAAAAGCTAACAAGCAGGAGCATCACACTACAAGCAGCACACAAAGAGAGAGGGGTTTGTCTTGAACACAGCATTCTAGCCAGCATCTGCCTTTCCGTCACGTGACGGCATTTTTCTCTCACATTTTGCCCATCTTGGACAACAACAAAAAAAAGCCTGTGAAGATCATTCAGAAAGAGATGTCATTGAACTACGCTTTGTCTAACAGCCAAATTTGCCCCTCAAAATGCAGGAAACATTTTAGGGGGTCAAGATTTCAATCCCCTGAATAGGATTGTTGTAACTTGGACACTTGACATGTTACATAAAACAAAATTGAGATGACGGAACAAATTTCAGACTGGCTAGGACACTGCTCAGACACAGGCAAAAACTGACCACCTTATTTCCCCAGGATAGAGTTAAGAACAGGTGCGTTGCCGCGCTTGTGGACCAGGTTGGCCGCAGCTGCGAGAGAAAGAGAACGGAGAGACGTGACCACGATAAGTGCACACAAAATTTCCAACAAGACAACATGCACGTGTCCGCGAAAAAATAATCCATAACACTGCTTTATCAGAGTGCTTATTCTAAAGAGAATTTCAAACTTAAAGCATTGACAAAGACGGGTGTGTGGATGGAATAAGTTTGTTTTAGTTCACAGTTCCATGTGTGCATAATTTAATAATGGCACATTTTGGTCAAATTTCAAAGGCTCATTGGCATATAAGCAAAGACTGGTCAGGGGCCTTAAAATATGACCTTAGACAACTTTGACCTTGATTTAAGCTCACAATGCACCACAACTGCACATGCACACTCGGAACTGTGATCTGGCTTATTGTAGCAGACTGTGGAGCAGAGGTGTTAAAGATCATTACAGAAGACACATTGCTACATGTTAATTTTTGGGGGGAGTTAGAAAAAGAAGATGGTTACTAGTAAGTGTGAAACTTGGTTGATCCCTAAAATCTAACAATGGTAGGAGACCTAACATTGGTGGGAGACTCAGCATCAAATACAAGATCAATGACAGAAGCATAGTTATTAATTAAAATGCTGTTAAAGGTTTATTAGGACTTGATGCCAGAACAGAAGTTATTGATAATGGTTATTGATAATGGTTATTGATAATGGTTATTGATAATGGTTATTGATAATGGTTATTGATTGAATGAAAACATTAACTTTACAGTTGGCTAGAAAAAAAGGAATGAATATAAAATAACAATTAGCATTTAGTAAAATCAAACTCAAGTCAGAAGATAAAGTGCATTCAGTATAATATGAATCTGGAGTATTCTTTATTTTAGTGTTGCAAAATTCTGCATTGTAAGTCCAAGCTTGACATAAACAAGGACTTAGAGAATTACAATTTCTAATTAATAAAGATCACCATTCAAAATCAAAGTTACATTGTATATAATGGCATGAACCATTACAAAAATGATTATAATGATAATCACTACTAAATTATTTAATCTCGGTAATGTGTAAAATTCATTTATCAATTAAGCCAAAAGCACAGATTATATTTTTTGTAGACAAATGAGATGTTTATATTATTAATTTGTTACAGTTTTTTTCAAAGATTATTCAATTATTTCTTTCAATTAACAAGCTGCATTATCATTTTATTTCACTGCAAGATTTTGAAAATGTAAAGCATTTTGTGTACCCTTGATATAATGTAACATCTCAACTAACAATTGATTATAAGTTTGAAATATGATTGGATGGCATCATATCAAACTATTATGATTATCATATTCCTTTCAGTTTTCAATATCACAATAAGTTGGTTCAAAACTCCAACTGTGTGTGTGTGGAATACATAATAATATGTGTAGTTGGAACCATGAACCTGAATAATAGAAATCCATAAAATGAAACAACATAATAGTACAAGGTTACACTGTATGATTATTAAGGAATCTTCTACTCCATTCTATGTCACTCTTGACTTTTCTTGTAGACATTTATGCATGCTTTACGTAAGTGACTCTCTTAAGTTTCTAATTGAGCTAATGAGATTTAAAAGAATAAGCTGGGTAAAATTTACTACTTTCTACACAAAGATAACAGAGTTGAGAAAAGAAAGCCTCTACTTTCACCCGGTCAAAGTGGGCAACATAAAAAAAGAAACCAAAAGAAATGTCATTCCATTAAAAATCCACTACTGGCCACAGCTGATGCCATTATGTCTATGACTCACGCATTTATGACTTCCAAGATTTTTTGCGCCTACCAGTACTGTCTTGAGGCGAGATTGGACGATCGAACACCTTCCGGAGCACGTCCATCCATTCTAGACGCTCCTCTTCCGTTTCCGCGCCGAGAAGATAGTCCCGTCCGGGCGTCCTGATTGTGAAGCTGTTTCCGACGTCCTGTTTCCCCGGAGGGACGCCTTCCAGCGCCTTGTATCCATCGCTTTTGTGTCCCAGGAAGATCTCCCCTTTTGGGTAGGCATCCTGTGGATAGATTGGATGTCATGTTTATTTAATTTAGTTTTATACCATTTTGTAAACTACAGGTACAAGGCAATATTCAATGAACAGACTGCTTTACATGTAACTTGTGAAATAGTGAAATATAATGATCCTATCTACCTAACGATTTTTTATGGCTTCACCATTACACTTCATCCTTTCTGGGAGCCTATGTTATATAATTCAATCCAATCAATATTCAAGGCTGTGATTAGCTACTCATACAATTTGACTAAGCAATGCCCTTTCACAAAATTTACTCACCAGAGGGTCTTCAAAGTACATCAGCCTCCTGTCATCCAGAGTGAACCATCTTCTCTTGTAGGGCTCATTATGCTAATGAGGGAAGAAAGAGGAGAGAATATTTATGCAAATTAGTTGCCTATTAAGGAAAGGATTACAGCGTATGAAAAAAACAAGAGGGAAACCAGGGAATTTTTTTTTCCTTTTTCTGAGCCTCAGTAGTCCAAGTTCATTCATTTTAGAAAAAATGACAGAGAGCCTGTAAATAAAATTAATTCTTCAAAATAATCTAATGCAGAATGGAACAAACATCTATCAAACCTACTTTGAAATACCAGCAATGACTTGTCAAAAATTAAACATTTCGTATAGCTACATCTATTGTATTCCATGGATTTGATTTCTCACCAATGTTTGTGTGCATACATGTACTTACCCTTGGTCCAGTCTTATACAGCCAGCCTTCTTTGACAAAGGCTCTTGTAAGTCTTGTCACGAGCTACAAGAGCAAAAGAAAACAAACTGTCAAACATATGCATTGCGTAGTAATTCATCTGACATTCAACCACAGTTTGTGTGGCACCAGCAATCTATTATGTGAACTGTATCTTGTTGATGATGAACTGTGAAGTTGTACTTACATCTGCATCATTACCACCTGGATATGCCACCTTCAGCATGTTATACTTGGCTGCTCTGACAGCTGTGTACCAGTCTACTATGTCCTGCAAAATAAAAGATGGGGAAAATCATTTCATTTTTCACACGAAAATGTTGTAGCTCAGCACTAAAAAGTCCTACATTCAAATCACATTTAGGCAAATAGCAACAAACTTATTTTTCACCTGTATAGAGGTTTTGGGTGTGTTTCTACTGTTATTTCCACATGAATTCAGCCTACAAGCCACTTTAAAATGATATAGCAAAGAGCATACAACAGTTACTGAGGGGAATCTACTCAGAGTACCTTCCCATCCTCTGTGTAGACATAGATATTCCTGGTGCTGCCATCCTTTACCCAGGAGATCTGCAGGCCATTGGGGTTCCCAATCTTCTCTGGAGTGAAGTTAGCATTCAATTCGCTGATCTTGATCGCTGCCTTGGGTTCCTTTGCCTGAAAAGCCATCCAACATTGGTTAATGTTAGATTTGATTTTCACAAACTGTATTGGAAGGAGGAGGGGAATATTGAAAAATAATGTTACCTACATGTAAAGCCAATATCAAAACTAAAACGTTTGCCTTTAAGAAGATATATAATATTAACTTCTAATTAATTTAGTTTCAACCAAACTTGTGGCTTTTTTTACATCAGAATATTTTCTATTTTGGATTATCCTGTAGCAAGAGCTGTGAAAACAAGAAGATTTCAAACACATAATTCCCACTTTGCAGTTTTGGTTATGAGGTTGGTTTGCCCTTGGTGCTGAAAAGCCTTCCACTCAACACTTACAAACCACTCTGCACCAGATGACTCAGTAATCTGATTATATCACACACTTCAATCTCCAAATCTATTGGCTATGGTCCTTGATTGACATAAATCCTTTCACCAATGAGGAAGTCACTTGTCATAGTGATGGGGAAATCTAATAAGGAGCAGCACTAATTACATTAAGGCTGCCGTGTCTTCTGAAACCTTGTTACAAGAATGTACCCAGTCAACTGACGAAATCTGTGCCAAGATTGCGTCATGACAGAATTGTATAAAGGCTTTAGAACATGACTTATTTCTGTCCAATACCAACTTGACAGAGTTCTGAAGCAGATCTAGTGAAAGATACAGTGGGCATACCTAAGTCTAAAGCAAGAACTTTGTGACATACAACCAAAAGAATTTTAAGCCAATTGGTCAACCTTGTCGGAACAAATCGACAAAAATCTTAGAAATATAAAAACACCCAAAGGACCACCAACAACCACTCTCAAACCCATGACTTGTCTCAAAATGTGGTAAATTACATTTTCAAAGGCTTTAAAATCCTCAATTTGTCCCCGGACCTCTAGATTGCAAGCACTCTCCCCCAGTTCTGATCATACACCTGGGCTGACAAAAAAATATTTTTAGCTGGCTTCAGCCCTGATTTAAAGGTTAATATATATCTTATCTAAAAGACCTCCAAACTCACATCAGCCTTCTGGTAGTACTTGAGGATGTCGTCCTCCTCAGCCAGAATGAACCTCCTCTGTTGGAAGGTGCTGTTCTCCTTCCCACGTTTCCACAGGAAACCCTCCTTGTACCCAGACAGGTACGTCTGACGCTCCAGGTACTGGAACTCCATCCGCTCATACTTAGCACGGATCCACTGTTCACGTAACACTCTGGGTAGGGAAATACCATGTAACAGTTGTATTATATACATGTATGGTGGCAAGGTGGTCTTGTGGTTAGAGTTGGTGACTCAGTTCCTGAAGGTTCTGAGTTTGAATCCCTTGGCCTAGCACTGGCCATAATGTTGTGCCTTAGGAATTTACGACACATTTTAAAAACTGCTACTTGATAACATAGCAGCTCAACAGAAATTTTGGGTCGAAATGTAGACTTGCAAACATGTGCTTTGAAACGGTATGTAAAACCAATTGCCTATACTTGATAGTAGAAACCTTGATGGACAACATAATGCCATACTTACTGAGGATCCATTGCCATGGGCCTGTGGTAGAATGGAGGCACGTGGATCTCGTATTTTGCTTTCGCTGCCAAGTTACCAGTAGATGCCATGAACTGGAATAAAAGAAGAAAATATGATTATGTGTAAAAACAAATCAAGGAATAAACATGCAAATATGGCCAACTGGCATGCTTGATTGTAGCTTAGAATGATAAGACGGCCTACTACAAGCATCTTCATATTCACAGTACAAGAAATAATCTTGATTCTTTTTTAATGATTAGCAAAAATGTTTTTTCTTAAGTTGCAACTCTTGTTCGAGTGGAGTAGGGAGGGAGTGTTATAAAGGAACAGCCCTTGGCTCTTACCTCGACCTGGTCATCTGTCCAGCTGTCTAACCTGAGAGACTTGACCTTGCTGATGTGAGCCCCCAGCATACGGTGGATCCCTGCACAGTCAATACAGATGAAGATTCCGATGTTCGCAGAGGCCCAGTCTGGATCTGAAACAACCAAAATTGGAAGAAATTTCAAGTTAATATTTATAAATCTGCTTAAACAGTTGGGCTGTGTATAAAATAACTGTGGACATGTGCCTGAAATGGCATGAATATAACTGTTACGGTAATCATATCACAAATTGTGATAATACATTTCATATGTTGTTGTGATCTGATCTATTGTGAATAGTTTTGCTCTGTTAGAAATTATGGCAAACCATTATTGTAGCCTATAATCATGTAATTTTTCCCACATGTACTCTACTACATTATGATATGTATGTATTATATATGAATAAAACAAGTTTGGTAAGTGACATGTTTACAGCAGAGAGGTCACTGAATGCATTAGTAGGTCACACCTATTATGACTCAGGTAGCACGACACACGTATACAAGGTAGAATGTTTTCTAATTTTAGAGATATACAAATATAAAGGGAGGGAGGGGGGGTGTTGTTCAAGGTGTGCCAGCATGTTTTCCTACTAGTAACTGTATTTTTTAAAATTATTTTGAATTTGGCTGAAGCAGACTATAATCTTTCTTAGCAACCTAGTACACAGAACCAATTAGTAAGGCAGGAAGAAAAGTGTGCTAAAGCTCATCAACTTCTAGTAAATGTTACCATGAAAGTACAACATAAATATAACATATACATATGTTATCATATTGTTCCCAACTAGTAATTGCAGGTGTCACAACATTTTATTTTTTCAAATACCTGTTTTAGACAAGGCTAAGCAAGTGAGATTTTTTAAGTGTACAGTAAATAACTTTTGCAAATGTAATGCTAATCTTACATCTGCCCAAAGAATATGTAACTTACATTGTAAGTTTCAAGATCTTAGATGAACTCAGGAAGTAGTGCTTTTTTTTTATGAGTCATGACTTCTTGAGGGGTGTTGCATTTCACATTAGGGGAGTCCAATTCATAGTACATCCATTTATAGATGTGTTTTAATTTACAGCTGCAAAGACAAACAGTCCCAAAATATTACCAGACTAATAATCATATAGCAATCCTTTTAAACTACTAGTAGTAGTCTCCCTGTGATCATTTTTGGTTGGTCCCTAAGTTTGTGAGAAGTGTGCAGAAGGTCAAAACATAAACGGTACCATCAGGTGCATGTGCACACTGACACTGGCACTTCCTGATCCATGCTTACACAGCAAACTACTGTGCATTCACTAAAGTTTACACCATAATTCTGCAGTAAGGTTTACTCAACATTTACAACTTATAATATACAAGTACATATGTACAGTGTATGCAGTTGAATTTGAAATAACAAACTAAGTAACACAATGCAATGACAGAGTTCACGTTGTGATAAAAAGAATTCGCAGTCTGAGAGCTAAACACGAAAAATGCGAAGGTAACCATCACTGCAGCTACTATTTCACAATTTACTGTATATAACAATGACATCATGTAGTGAGGAAGAAACTACACTAATGTGATGAATCCACCAATTATGTCACCTTCACATGACAGTCACAGGAACAGAATAAAATATCTCATCACCTTTAAAGAATATGTTCTAAACTGTTCAGCTTCAAACAAGTCCAAGTTTGGTTTTAGTAACATATTGCATATTTGAACATGACAAGTCCTCCAAATTATAGAGTTCTAGAATCAATATAATATATAATGCTGCATAAAACCACACAAAAAAAGACACTTACTAGTAACAAAGCTAGACTTGCTCTCATTTAAGAAAGGAAATTCAATATGGTGAAAGAAAAGCAAAGAAGGAAAGTCATGTGATAACAAAAATAAGAAGTAGAATTACTAGAAAAAAGTTTTAACACTTATTGTAACAATATATTAAATACACATTAAATACAAAATTTATGGCTAATCCAACACTACTTGTGATATAAGGGGCTCCTGGATCGGTTTGAGTGGCAATGGTAGGGAACTATGCCATGCATATGTAGCCACTGTATTCACTTTGTGTACCAATAATAAATACTAGTGTTTACATGCACTTCTCTAATTTAGTCTAAACCAGCACACATACAGTACGCATATATATATTTACCATATCCTCTTCTTATATCTCAAAGCAGATGTAGTCTAATCATTGATTTTTGAACGTTTTTCAAGCTTTCTGTACCTCTTTCATTCCAGCTGTGAGCTTTTTTTAAGCTCCAAAAGGCAAAAAGAATTTTTTAAAAATTTTTTATTAGACCACTAAAAAAATGTATAAGATTAAAAAGGTGTAAAACACTGGCCCTGACATCTGCTTGGAGAATATACATGTACTAGATATAATTCAAATCAATTTTAGGGGCATGGGTGCTGGAGAAATAGCTATACTCTAGTATTACATTATTTAGTGCTAGTCTGGATGAGTTTCTAAGAAGGACTAGGACAAGACCTCACAAAACATAATGAGTCAGATGTGGATAAAAATAGATTAGTGAAAGGGAATACGATGTGGTGACACCTCCCCTCCCCCACAGTGACACTTTGAGGATGTTACTTGTTTCACTGAACTGCTAGCTGTTTGACTACTGTAAAACTTTAAATAAATATTTGCAGCAAGTTTGTAGTTTTTGTGGTCACTTCTCCACAAAGTCATCAGTGAACAGGTGTTTCTACTGTGCTACTTACATGTACTACTGTTTTAGGTGCCACAGACTTCAATGTAATATACTATGTAGTGTTTAATGGTTTCAGTATGAGTAAGTTTAAAGGACTATGTCATTGGCTAATTATATCACTGCAACATGGCGGGGATTTGTGTGGGGGTGTAGATGCAGAAATTTTGAAAAAAAAGCTATAAAACAATGTACTATGTAGCATGCCACTTTTGGGCTACTTAATAAATGTCTTTGGTGTGTTTATTGTTGTTGTTGTGAAATCCTAAATGGAATGTAAAAAATGAGGACATGGAGAAAAAGTAGGTGGGATGTTGCCATTGCGGGGGTGGTGGTTAGGATAAAAAACATGGGGGGAATGTAAGAAAAAGTCAAAAGTGAAAGGGGAAGTTATGTAGAGAATTTTGCGCAACTAACAACAAATGAACGGTGACATTAAATGCAATCATACCATAATGAAGTGAATAACGATTTGCATGTGGCTAAATCATAAGCATAATAATTCAATTCAAAAATTGAAAACCCTTATTGCCCCCCCCAAAAAAAAAACATAACTACTGAACTACCCCCCTTTTCCTACTAATATCTATGCACTATTCACAAACAAGGTAAATCATACAGCTGTATACCAATCCAGACCAAAAATTAGGAATTCCATAAACACGATCTATAAATACAAATTAAACCATTATTAAGGTTGACAGAAATACATATCAAAATTACAAAATATGATTTTAAGAAACTTATTTACAGTGTTGTGTTATATCATAGAAAGCCCAAATTAGCGTTGGAATAACAATGTTTACTGATGTCTTCCAGTTAGAGGAGATTGATATCTGATGTTGTTTATAAGTAACATACCGCTTTAGACAAATTCCTTAAGGCTATAGCAAGGATTCTTAACGCCCTCCCCACAAAATGGACACGAATCTTAATATCATAGGCTTTTCTTACTATACAGAGCTGAAATATCCTATTAGAAATGTGTACAGCCATAGCTGTAGTCGATTCTAGCAAGCCTGAGCGCTAAAATATGCTTTGCTTCGATTTTAAGGCTAACACAATGTGCTGTGACTAGAGGACATATGACACCGTACAAGGCACTTCCTGGTTCAAACCCAGCGTGTTTTCTGGGCCAAAATGCGACAAAACCTACCTCCACATCCGCAGTCTGCACATTCATTGTTCCCCTCCTTGTTCAGAAGGTCTAGTAACGCTTTCTTGTTCCTCTCGACCATGGTTTTGCGTGTAGAAATCTAGAGAAACCGTCGAAAAAGTTGAGCCACCACCGCCAGTCTTTCTCTCCGCTCCTCTCTCTGGGCAGGTTGCGTTTCCGCATAAGTATGACCCCGGATTCCCCGGACTTCCGGTAATGACCAAATATGGAAATTCCCGGCCCGATGTTGACGTCATCATCGTTTTTTTGGCGCACTTCGGAGAGGGGACAAGTGTGTGGGTTTTGATATTTCAAATATGTTTTCTTCTATCAAGAGAGAACAAATTTCTTGCTCAGGAGCAGCATATTCAAGCTTATAATACTTCAAATATGTTTTTAGTTTCAACTATATGATGCTGGTCGTTTTTTTATAACTTTACTGTGTGACACATGTAGTGTAACAGTGATGTTTTGTGTAAGAAATTTTATTCACTTGTGTGTTTTCTATCATGTATGTTTGTGTCAGTCTTGCTTTTTAGTTTTTATTTTCTTTGCTTCCATGATGCTGTTGCATTCCATGCTTGTTTTTCAATTTTCTTGGCTGCAAAACATGAATGCACACCCCAAGCCTTCCACGACTAGGTTTCGTGCTAGCCATGTGAATTCCTGTTGTAGTCTGCATCTCAGGGTGGACATGGCGAAGTTTACCTGTGGGTATAAAGAGAGAAAAGAGCATAAATGAATCTATGCCAACTTTGGCCAGCTTTGATTAACTTAAATTAACAAGATTTGGGGTCATAAATGTAAATATGCAAAGCATGTGAGTCGATTAATTTTACAGAATGCAATGAAGCAGACACATCTATAACACATTTTCTGGCAATAGCCTGTGTGCCAGACCCTAGCACTTAGAACAAGGAGCTTAACTCCTTGCTTGGAATAAAGAAAGTGCTTTTTTCTGAGACTCTCGATCGGGCCTCTATACTGCCCAACACGCCACAGTTTCGGAGCTGGCTTCCTTCTTCAGTTTATCTAGACGTATAAATTAGACCCCGCGCGGCTGCAAATTCTGTGTTCCAGGCGTGAGATTTCCCTGACTTTATTGACTATGGTGGCACAGGGGCCTGGCACCCAGGCTACATTGTTTTCCCAGCAATGACATCATAGTAAACATGGTACCGTGTTTCAAAACACACAGCTTTTCATGAAAGAAGTACTATAGATATGCGAACATTGCCTAACCATCGTGATTATTATATGTACAATACTGCATGAAATAAGGATGGTCAGGCACTCACCTGGTATTTTGTTCCACTTCTTAATTGTATTCTTGAGTAACTGTTGTGTTTGTCGCCATGTAGAGCTGAAAGAAACAGCGTAGAAAAGGTTATTAGCGAAGTTTGTTGCATTCCAGGGTTGTGTTATTCAGCATAGTTCGACAGCGTTCAGCGTGACCACGGATGTGAAACTTGGACAATATTATGGTGGGATGTCAGCAACATGTAATGCAAAGAATACGCGGATCAATATCAAGTTGTAATTGTGTGAATAGTAAAAAAAAATGACGTTGACCTAGAGATGAGTATACAACGTACTGAAACCTTCTCCGTGCACTGAGATGGTCTCCACTGTTCGGAACCCTGCGTCGTTGGCAGGTGCGGGCAGTTTAGCGCAGACAGGGCAGTATATGCCGGCACCGGTGTCCAGTGTAGAACAGTAGGGTATCCCTCGCTGCATGTCTGAGGTTTACTGGAAAGACAAGAAAATCCAACGCCCGGGGTTACTGGACAGAAGAGCCTTGACGGAGAGAATTGGGGTAAGGCCGGAAAACCCCGGCGGAACATGGCGTCAGGTGGCTCAAACTTTACATAACCAAAAACCAGCCGCTAAAAACGAGCAGCTATTAAAAAAAATTCACTAAAACCAAGGAGGTTAAATACCTCCTTGCTAAAACACTGATCGCCGATACCTGATAAAGACCAGTCGGATCTGTAATGATATACTGACCAAATTCTGTAAGCAAAATGGACGGAACAAACCACACATAGAACAAGATGAATGAAGTCAGGAAAACGGGTGTTAGAATCTTCACAGTACAAATTTCCAAAAATAATTCATCAGGTATTATACTAACAGACGAATATAAACTCCAAGAATGCTAAATTACTTTAACATAGCCTGGCAGTCAGGCCATCGCATGCTTCCGGTATCTCACGGTGGTGCTATCAGCACTGCCCGCCCGCGCCCGCCCAGAGGTATTTCATGCAGGGGTATTTTACCGGGTCAGTTACAGGACGACAATGATTAGAAAGGCCAGCTGGAAAGATCTGGCATTTCAGCAGAGTATGGTTGGGCCTGCAAAATATCCCTAAGCCACTAATCTGAACAGAAAGGTTTTGTCGGAAAGGGGAGAATATCAAGTAGGGCCGACAAACTTGATCCCGATGGAACTTGACGTCATGTGGCGGTAACCCATCCTCCCACGCCAGGGGTGCTTCCTTACCAGTAATCCCAAGGCGTATTTGCCGCGGGATAGCTCTGCCGTGGGAGAATGCGGTAACCATGTGGCACACATTTTCAATGCGTAAACTAAAATTCCAACTTCTCTCCACGCGTGTTGTAACCAGCCAACAAGCAACTTTTAAACTTTCTCTAACTCAGTGATCAACAATGATGTATCGATATAACAACACCCAAATTCTGACACCGGAACTTTGAAGACACAACCAAGTACTTTGCGAACATCACACAAATAAAACGTTCAAGTTACGCTGACTATGATCGATATTCTGCGCGGGCATCGAATCCGTAAACAATAATTTGTAATTCTTATCGTAAAAGCGAACTCACCAAAATTTCCCCAAACCACTGCGAGTTATAACAGGCGCGCCTCATCGAAGGCGAAAAATTTATTCTAGTTCTCTACTCTGAGGCTCAGTTTTTCCAAGGTTAGTAGAACTGTTCTTCTTTGGCATTATAGGTCTGAATCTTTGTCGGAAACTGTACGTAAATAGCGTCACACATATAGTGATGACCCATTCAGATCCACAATAAGGAAATACCCGGGGGACGACAACACAGCGAGATCCAAGAACACCAGAATAACATAGAAAAAATTGTAGAAATCTCGAAAAAGTCTGCTTGAAAGATACAAAGAATTTCGAGCAGAAATGGAGGAAAGTTTACTACACATACATATACAGAACACAAAGTACATACTAGTCTCGTACACAAGAAAATAGCGACTGGGTGAAGGAACTGTCATGAAATACAAACAAACGGGCGATTGTCGGCCAAAATA